TTTATTTATTTATTGTTATTTTTTTTTTTTATAATGTTTCATTGTTACTTACATTTTTACATTCATACAGTTTTAGTTCCGTTGGTACGTTGATGATGTCACATAGACCACCTTTAGAGGGAAGGATGTATTTGGTGGGCATTGATACAGTTGCATTTTGTTGGTACGTTGATGATGTCATATAGACAACCTCGAGAGCAACGTATCTATGTGGTAGGCAATTTTTGCTTCGAAAAGGTCACTCATCCCTTCCCGAACAGCATTGCGTGGTGAAAAAGCACATATAAAAATTTACAGAGGCACTTGCTAGGAACAGTTACACTGGCCGGAAAACGTACCCACAGTCTCCCACGTGTCGTCCCACAAACCAGCTGAACTAGCCGCTGCGTGCTCACACGTTAATGAACATGTTAACTTAGCATGAAGTTATGATACTACAGTGAAAATTATTTAAAAATAAATCAGTTAGAAAAATTTTTTTTTTTTTTAAGGTATTTAATTGTCANGTAGTTTCTTAATTTTCGGTACTACATCTAGATTTTACACTGGAAGAGTAAATTGAACTTTCTTATATCAGTCATTTATTCTTTAAAAATACACTTAATCTGTAATATAAAACAAATAAAATTTTTGTATTCTGTGGAGATCTGGTACACTTAAAATTTAAGGTATTTAATTGTCAATAAGTATTAATGTTCCTTTTATTTTTTCTACTTAGAACGTATGTCAATAATTACAGTCCTTTTTTTAGGAGGAAAGACAAAGCTCGTCAAACGTACTTGCTGTGAGTCTATAAATCTTAGAACTTACTTTTTTTTCTCACTTCACTATTGTCTGTTTAAAAAAAAATGCTACCGAACCAGTGACTAAAGTATATGAATCAAAAAAAACGTTTTTGAGCTTTTATTATAATTAAGGAATTTGGTGTTCCATTGTATGAGACGTATTACTCGACTTATCACGGCTGCTTCAAAGTTTTTTTAATCGCTACAATACAATTTTTCTTCATACTGATATTTTTTTAGACTCAATTCAATATTAAGGATAAATCATGCATTTGATTTGTATAAACACTTTTAATTTAAGATAACTTAAAAGAAAGCATATTGCGTATTAATGATCTTATAAATCTGACATTACTTTACAGTCTAAGGACTTAAGATTGGTTACAAAGATTGTGCTAAGTAGATTTTGGATACCATTCGATTATTATTTGTGAAAAACAGTACCTATATTAAATTATAACATTTACCACGCAGTGGCTCAGTGAGACTTTTCACTAGAAGAGCTTAGTTAAGTTTTAGGTATATTACAACGAGCACACAAAAATTTCTTACTTGGATCGGAGATAAATAGAGAGATTGCTAACGCCAATGCTACGATGCAAGACAACTTTTGGGTACTAATCAGGGTTACCCACCGTGGCCAGCCGTTGAACCGGGCAAAAATTTTTTGAGAGATCGAGAATCGTATTGAAGAGAGTGCACCTACGATAAAAGAAGTGGATTTGCGTGGAAATAAGCATACAGGCGCACATTTTGGAGATCCGTTAAAGAAGTAAAGTAGAAGTCCACCTACGAGAAGATAAGTAGAAATGTTGACTATTGTTGAATAGCTGAGTGCACAGCCAAAGCAAGTGATGATACAATTTTTTTTTATATTGGCTGTAACCAAATAAATGTTAAAAGTTCAACTAACTTTTTGCCTTTCTTTTGCTTCGATGTTATCTATCAATTTTATTTAATGAAATCGTGGAACTAAATGCTACTAACTATTTACACAGAGTCCTAATTTCAAGACATTTTTCTGATATTTTCGTACCTTCAGAACGTATTTTAAAATTGCATAGTAATTTCAAAAATTTTTAGCTTTTTTTGCTGGATGGCAGTCAACTACAACCACTTTTTTTTAATTTCTCCTTATCATAATTCCCATGAACTGTAGGACCAGCTCCAAAGGTTATCAATGAACATATGTGACTTTAAAATCCATCTCGTCCAAAGTTCCAAAAGTTGAGAAGTCTAAGACCTATGTCACTTTTCGCGTGGTTTTGCAATCTTGGAATCAATTCCAACTGTTGGCAGATTTTTTTCTTCATGCAGTTTATTACATTGGTATAATTTATTTTATTTTTGTTTTATCTAACTTTACAAATAATTTTGCGAACACTTTTTATTGATACGTCAAAATAAATAAATTTCTGAATTCAGTTATATCCAAAAATTAAGTGAGTTGATACTTTTCTTTGGCAAGGGCATTAAGTGGTTATACAAAAATTAAATAATTACCTAAGATTTTAGTGTTATTTATACATTTTTCGATTTCTAATAAATTATTAACTTCCAATGTAATTAAGACGAAATCTAAAGGCACAAAAAAGCTTACGGAAAACTCCTTAAACATTACTTTTCCGTCATTTAATGTAAATATTTCATCTTATAAATTGAATATCAAAATGATGAATTACTATCTAAGCTGAGCAATGTTTCTATGAACTAATAGAAAATTTTTTTATCGTTAGGGGTTAAATTATTTCTAGAGGTTAAAAGTTATGGTCTTTGATTTCATCTATAACATCACGCTTACATCTGTCACATACGATCTCACACTTAGTCCTCGTCCATATTTAATTCTCTAAGTATAGTTGTCTACAGGAAATTAAGAAAAATCATCCTGTAGCATAGCTTTCTTCAATAGGGTAGTATTACATTCCAGTAAATATTCCTTAAGGACGTTCATCACATAGGTTTTTTTGACAGATATTATTTAAACAGAAAATGTACATTTAAATAGCGTCAAAAGTACCCACGAACAATGAAGTTCGTTTTACTGTACCATTATTTAATACATAATGCATTAAAAAAATAGATATTTTACATGTAACCTATTAAAAAAATACATTAAATGGCATTTATATGATTGGTAGAAATCTCCTAATTCTTTGGGTACAAAAGATGACTTTTAGATAAACTTAAACTTATCGAATTTTCAAATAGACCCACAAGTTGGTTTTCAAACAAATTTATACAGAAGGGATAAAGTGTGCGTAAAGACATGTATGTGAGTACATCTACATGAGTAAGACATTTGCTAGCTTCACTGCACAAATAAGCGTTCCTCTCACTTCTCTAAACTTTTTTCGCAGTAACTATGTAATAAACGTTTTAAAATTAAAAAATCATTGTTATCACGAATGAAATAATTGTAAGAGAATAAAATACAATATGAATTCATTATTATAATAGTACACTACAAAAAATTTTTTTTCGATTTTTGAGAATTACACAGTCAATAAAAATTTACATTAAAGATAAGGAACAAACTGTACGACAAAATGAAGTTATCGAGTTTCTTATATCGGGCATGCTTATAGCAGAGTTGGTAAGGACCTCGGTTGGTATGCAGGAGGTCGAGGATTCAAATCTATTTGCAAACAGTTT